GTGTGAGAGGCGTGTTTTCGGCCTGGTACATGAATATTTCTGCCCCGTTGAGGAACTCGTTTGTCACCCTTCCCTCAGAATCTTTATGTGCATACATCCAACTCCGAAGCTCATAAATATCTCGTGGTATTTTTTTACTCACAAACTTGTTTTTTTTTTGGTGTATCTAAAAAATGAGAGATGAGACCATATTTATAGGAAAAGTTCAACATAGAATGTTACCACTAATTCACTACCAGATCATTTTACTACGAATTAACTAATTTTTGAGGTAAAGGAGACGTAAATTAGATGCTAAAAGTTTAGTCATAAAATTGTTGTCAGTAACGACTTCTTTACAACCACATTTTCATTTCCTCGTAAAACGGAGGTTATTTTACCTTCTATTTACGACTAAAAGTTGCGGTCCCAATTTTACGTCCACTTTACGACGATTAAACTTTTAGTTGTTACCTAGTCGTAATGTAGACGTAAAGTTACGACCACTGTTATGTCGTCGCAACATGTGGTCGTTAAGCCCATGTTTCTTGTAGTGTATTCTAAAATATCAAAATAAAAATTATTTATATATAATATAATATAATGAGAAAAGATGAACTTTACACTGTGTTGAACTACGATAAATAAATTTGATGTTTATCCAATAACATATTTTATGTTAAGTTGACTATCAAAAAAATAGCGATTAGTTTTTATGCATTAAGTATTTTGAATTGTACTGTTAAAATTTTTTTTTTTTTAAATCATAGAAATAATATGGAAGATTTGCACCAATAATATATTTTTTTAACATCCACAAATATTTTTTATTTATTTAAATAACTTACAAATAATATGACGTTTAATTTTTTCATCTTTTTCGTAAAGGTAAATCTTATTATATAAAACTTGGTTCTTCAAAGTTACTAATTAACAAGATTGTGACATATGGCAATTATATATTTATGATTGTGACATGTGTTAAATTATTCCATAATTAATTTATATATAATATACAAAAACGAATTTTTTTAAAAAAATAGAAATATTATGTAATAGTAATTGCCATTTTTAAAATCCTAAATAAAGGATATTTGCAGAAACAATATTTGATAGTAATTTTCCATTTACTATTGTGGCATGTAGTAAAATTCTCATGATTAAAATTATATATACTAAAATAATAATAAGAATTTAGAAGATATTAATTTTAAAAATTGTTTAACATTAAAAGAAAAAAGAAGCTAAAAGTTTTTAATTGTAGCTTTTCTTTTTAAAAATCCAAAACACAAAGATTTAAATAAAAATTAAAAAATTAGTTTTGAAAATATTGTTTAAAAAAATGAAGAGTGTTTAATTGTAGTTTTCCTTTTTTACAAATCCAAAACAACTAACTATTCGTAAAATAGATTATTATCAATTTTTATTTTCTAAAATCCTAAAAAAAATTTATCTGATAGTAATTTTCCTATTAGAATTTTATATATGTAAAAATATATCATATTAACAAAAGATATATATGAAGAAAATGAAAATGATTTTACAGAAAAAATAATGTTTTAAATATTTTAATAGCAATTTTTCTAAACCATTTTATTTTAAAAATATTCAAACAAATTAATATTTGCAAAATAATTTATTTGATACTATTTTTTTTTCCAAAATTCCGAATGAAAGGTATTTGAAAAAAACTAGTTTATAGTAATTGTCTTTTTCCAAAATCTTGAGCATAAGAGAATTATTAAGGAATGTTTAATAGTTTTTTTTTAAATCCTAAAAAAACTATTTGTAGAAGAATTAATTCAAATATTTTTATGTTCTTTTCTTCTTAAACTTACGATAATTTTTAATATAAATATTAAAATAATAGATTAATTTCAAAGATATTATTTTTTTAAAAAACAATTAAAGTAAAAAAAAGAAACTATAAATTTCTAATTGTAGTTTTTCTTTATACCAACCCTAAAGAATATTTAAAATAATAATTAAACAATTTTTAAAATATTAATATTAAATGTTGTTTAAAATTAAAAAAAATAAAGGGTGTTTAATTGGAGAATTCCTTTCTACAAATATTAAGAAAAAAATATTCGTAAAATGATTTATTTATTACTAATTTGTCTTTTCAAAAATTCTAAAAAAATATTATTTGATAGTAATTTTCATTTTAAAATTTTATATATATATATATTAAAATAAATCATGATTAAAAAAAATTATATACTAAGATAATGAAAACGAATTTTATAAATAGTTTAGTTGATACTAAGATAATGAAAACAAATATTTTATAGTACTTTTCATTTTCTAAAATATTGAACATAAAAAAAATTATAAAAGAGAGTTTAATATTAGTTTAACTGTAGTTTTTCTTTTTGGAAATTATAAACAAAAAAGTAATATTCCTAAAGTATATTATTAATTACCAATTGAGTTTTCTAAAATTCTAAATAATATATTATTGTAAATTATTATTTGAATGTAATTTTGCTTTTAAATTTTTATATATGTTAAAATAAATCATGATTAATAATATATATATACTAAGATGATAAAAGCAATTTTACGAAGTAATTTTAAAATTTAATTAGTAGTAATTTTTCTAAAACATTTTCTAACAAAATATATATACTAAGATGATAAAAGCGATTTTACGAATAAAATTAATTTCCTTTTCTAAAATAATGAAGAAAAGGTAACTGAAAAAACATATTTGATACTAATTAGCATAAAATCTTGAACATAAGAAAATTATAAAAGACTATCTTATAGTAGTCTTCCATTGTTTTCAAATCATGAACAAATAATATTTGTAGAATTATTATTTGAAATACTTTTTTGTTCTTTATGCTTAAACTGATGATGATTTTTATTGTTCTTATATTTGTCATGTTGTCGTACGTTAGTTATTGCCATAGTTATACTTAGGTGTTTGTATGTAGTATAGATGTTTTGATATTATACGTAAGTTAATGTGTCTATTATGCCTTTATGTGTTTGTTTTATCGACACTATAAAATTAGTTATGGTGTATCTTTTTGAATTTCAAATTACTTATGTTGTTGTAGTTAATTTAATGTCAATGCCATTTGTTACCTTTATGTACCATTTTGCTTATGTCTGATTGTTAAATTAGTTAATTAAAAACCCTAACTGTTAAAATAGTAGTGACACGAATTGTAAAATAGTACTTAATAAAATATTTAACAGTACTGAAATAATTATCTAGTAATAATCTAATTTTCGGTAATTCTAAATAGAAGATAATTGTAAATGATTGTATGATAGTAATCTTTATTTTCTAAAATCTTAAACAAAAAGGTAAAATAGTATTTGATAGTTTTGTTTTTGTTTTTTTTTAAGTTATAAATGAAAGAGTTATAAAATAGTAATGTTTTATTTTTCAAAATCATAAGAAAAAAAGAAAATTTTAAAAATTATTTAATATTAATTTAAAACATAAATATTTTGATGATAAACATGATACTAAAATAATTTAATTAACTAAAAAATCAAAAAATAGATTTTTTCGTGATTGATATTTATATTGATATGTGTATGTGTTTGGTCATACAAAAACAAACACATGTTTGGTATATTTTTGTGTTTGGTCATAGACAATAGATTATTATTATTACCAACGAAAATGATTTATATGTGGTTAGTCAAAAAGAAATCATGTTTCATCGTCATCTTATTACATCTATGTTTTAATATATAGTATTTCTAATCTATTTTATTAAACTTTTGTTATAATAATATATCTTTAAAATGAATTTAGAAAATTATTTAATAACAGAAAAATTAATCAAATGGCCTAATTTTTTGTAGAAAATCAGAAACAAGTAATTGAAGAATAATTATAAATTAAGTACATATAGGAAAAATTAAAAATTCAAAAACTGGAAAAAACTAAAGAAATTGTTTGAAATACTATAACTTGAATACCATTTTTAATACTACATAAAAATCTCATAACATCTGAATTTAAGATTTAGTGTGTAGAGTTTAATATTTAAGTGATGAAACTAAGTTTATAAAATTATATAAAAGTTCCAAATGATATATATGATATTAAATATCATATACTTAAAATGAAATTAGAAGAATTTCTTAATTACCTCTAAGATCGTCTTCTTCAACCTTATTACAATATATAATAAAATAAGTTATTTATTTATTTTAAGATTTATCATCACAAATTAAGAAGTGACAATTGTATGATATTGTCATTGACTTGATTGACCTTATTTATCTTTCAATTTTTTTATTTCACTATAATTCTTAATTTGTATCAGATTTGGTTAAATTTTTAGGTATGATTATTTTCTCTGGCCATGGGTACAAAGTTAAAAACAATTCACTTATGTGCCATGATTATTAAAATACAAATATGTACCAATATTTATGTGAGTAAACAAATTCTAAATTCTGAAATAAATCTCACACAACATATATAAAAATAATCCTAAAATATAGAATAACTTATTATTTTATGTCCTTTGTCAAATAAAAAAAATCAAATAATATGTACTTTTAAAATATAAATACTAATCGGAACTTTTATGGAAAAACGAATTCTTAATTTCTAAAATAAATCTAACAGAACATATGCAAAAAAAATCAGTGTTTTTTTGTATTTATAAATATTAAAACATCAAATAAAATCTATGCAACGTACGACCCATATCTAGTATCAAATAAAATCCGTGTTTTTTTAATTTAGATAATGAAATTTGGAAGAAAAAAAAAGTAAATGTGAAAGAGGGAACTGTGGGGCCCTTTAGAAATTGAAAGTCAGATAGAGCCCGACAGCAGGTAGATTCTGGGAAACTTCGTATAGTCGAAAAACTGAGTCAGATTTATCAAAAACCAACTAACCAACCAAATCAATCGTCTTTGACCGAACCAAACAAAATCTTTATCAAAAACCCTAGATTAGAAGAAGGGGATCACGTTTCTGTTCTGTAAAAGGGTTTTCTTTTGGTTGACCCGATCGATTATTATCTTCTTTATTGGAGATGGCGAATTCGTGTTTGAGAGACGGAAAATTCAGCGCACCAGGCTTTCGATTTCACCCTACCGATGAGGAGCTGGTGGTTTATTACCTGAAGAGGAAGATCTGTGGGAGAAAGCTTAGAATCAATGCCATTGGCGTCGTTGATATTTACAAACTTGATCCTGCTGAATTGCCTGGTAACTTTCTTGTTCCTTTCTGTGATATGATAGTTATTCTTTTACAATCAATCAGTTTTTTTGCTTGTTGACCGTCTGTGCAGCTGACTTTGAGAATTATATGATCTCAACTTGTTTCATTTTCTCTCTATATTGTTTGAAACTATCTGCGTTGTAATGTTTTTATCTTTCAAAACTGAACAACCTGCAGGTTTATCGGTGTTGAAGTCAGGGGATCGACAGTGGTTCTTTTTCACTCCGAGGAACAGGAAGTATCCAAACGCAGCTAGGTCCGGTAGATGCACCGCAACTGGGTATTGGAAGGCTACAGGGAAAGATCGTGTCATAGTCTACAACTCGAGATCCGTGGGACTCAAGAAGACACTTGTTTTCTATCGAGGCCGTGCTCCTAATGGTGAGCGTACTGATTGGGTGATGCACGAGTACACCATGGATGAAGAAGAGCTCGCCAGATGGAAGAACGCCAAGGTATAGATTATACCTATATATCTGAACCTGATAGTCATATATATATATATATATATATATATATATATATATATATATTTTCCTTCATTTTATTTGTACTTAAACTAATATGCCTTCTTTCTTTTGTTCTTCAGGAATATTATGCTCTTTATAAGCTGTACAAGAAAAGTGGAGCTGGTCCCAAAAACGGGGAAGAGTATGGGGCTCCCTTCCAAGAAGAAGAATGGGTCGATGATGATGATGATGATGATGATAGTGAAGACGCAGATCATGTTGATGTACCGAATGATCATGTGGTCCGTTATGAGAATAACCGTCGTGTGGATGATAGTTTATTTTGCAATCCTGTCAATCTTCAGTCAGGTGATCTTGACAAGCTTCTCAATGAGATAGCAAATGCACCAGGGGTTGCGCAAAGACAAATGAATGAGCCTTCTGGTGTTCTTCAGGTCAGTTTCTTCTCTCTCTCTATTTTTTTTTTTTTCTTTTTTAATTTTTAATACGGTTTCATATGCTCATTTTGTTGTACCTTCCCTCACTAAATAGATACTTGTGCGTGCGTGCAGGGTATTAGCGAAAAAGACATAGAGAGCGTGTTGCTAAATAATTCCCCTGGAGAGTTTCTTTCTCCCTGGGAAGTCGGAAAATGCTTGCCGAATGGCCACTGGAGTTTTCAGTCAGGAAACACATTTGAAGCTACTGAGGCTGAATCAGCTTTCAATACCTCTGGTATAGCACCTTTCGTGTTTGAGAAGGAAGATTACATTGAAATGGAGGATCTTCTGACCCCTGAAATCGGAGCTTCTTCAGCTGAGAAACCTGCACAGTTCTCGAACCCTGCTGAATATGGAGACTTTAATGATTTTGACCAATTGTTTCATGATGCTTCCATGTCTTTGGACATTGAACCTCCTATTGCTCAGGGAACTTCTGCAGATCCGTCTCCTCTGGGTAGTTTCGTTAACAACAACGGAAGACAGCAATTACTTTTTCAGGACCAGGCTCTTGAGAATAAGTTGAACAGCTTCATGGATCCTAACCCAAATGTCAATCAATTCACTGAGGATATGTGGTTTAAAGATGCCCATGCTGATCTCTATGATCAACCACAATCCTCTTCTGTAGCATTTGCTTCACCTTCATCAGGTACTTAAACTCTTGCTCCACTCGCCCCCAAGTTATTTTCTCACCAAGCGCTAATACTTTTTCAGCATTAGTCTTTCACCTGAACCAAAACATTTATATGTATATATGATACTCTGCTATTTGTTAATCCTGGCTTATCAAACTCTCTTGTGTAAGTAACGTAATAATCTTAAGTCATTCCGCTGATACTTCATGAATACTAATTTGGTCAGGTGTGATGCCTGAATATACGAATCCTCTTGTGAGTGTAAATGGCCAAAATGAGGGTGGTGGAACAAGGAGCCAGTTCTCATCAGCTATGTGGACATGGATGGACTCAATACCTTCAACACCTGCCTCTGCCTGTGAGGGTCCACTGAATAGGACATTTGTGCGTATGTCTAGCTTGAGCCGCATCCGGCTCAATGGGATGTCAGTTACTGCTAGCAAAGTCACCGTAGCTAAGAAGCGTATGGGAAACAGAGGTTTTCTTCTCTTGTCAATTGTGGGTGCTTTGTGTGCCATCTTCTGGGTGTTCATCATAGCTACAGTTGGTGTAAGGCCCGTCTTATTGTGACCTAAACGTTTTGATTCAGGGTAAGTTAGAAGAAAGCATGATCCACATTTAGTTATCACGGAATTGATATATGACGCTTTGAACTTTGTATAGAGTTGAAGAGATTTGAGAAAAGCAACTTTTGACGAAAGGGGTTGTTTTTGGTCTCTCCATTTCCTATGCTTATGATATTCATATTCGTATTCACACAACCTCAGGTAGGGATGGGACTTTTATCTGGAATCCAGATTCGATTCGAGATCCGTTCTGGATCCGCTCCGAAATTAAGATATTCGAGGATGTCCAGATCTAAATCCGGATAGTAGAATTTCGGATCCGTACAAACCGGATCTGGATCCGGATATCTTAATTTTTAGGTCTGGATATCCGGATTCGGATTCGTATTTTAAAAAATATATTATTTTTTTTATTTTATTATTAATTATATATGATATATTAATATTTATACATAAAATAAATTTAATAATATTATACTTTTATATTAATAATATTATATGTCATATATATATATTCATAAATTATGCTTAAGTATTTAGTTTATGTATTATTTTTAGAATTTTGTTTTTTTTTTTATTATTTTTACGGATCCGAACCTGAATCCGAATCCGGATATCCGTGGATATCACAATATCTAGACATATATCTGAAGTCCAGATATCCGGAAGACACGAATTTGCATCCGAATACTAAAATTACGGATCCGATGAATTCGAATCCGAATACTTCAAATTTCTTGGATATCCGGATCTGTCTCACCCCTAACCTGAGGAGGACTAAAATTCATGTAAAGCTTTGATAGTTCATTTTCATATTTAGAAGAACGTACAAAACAGTTTTCCAAAAGAATAAAAAGAACGTACAACACAATGTTTAGGCAAATCGAACGAAGAAGTCAGTCTTAGCCTAAAGGCATGAAAAAGTTAACCATGCTTCCAATATGGTGGCCTTTAACAATATTCGTTACTACATCTGGAAGCTTCACTTATATGCTCCATATTAATGTTTATTTAGTTGTTTTATCTAAATGTTGTTTTTTGTTTTGTTTGAAAAGGGCTTTTATGATTAAAGCATCATAACATAAATTTATTTGTATCTGGGTACATCTTCTATATTAAAAGAGAAGTACCATTTATATCTACTACAAAAAGTCATATTGGACTATTTCATTAATATAACATATTTGATTATTTATATTAATCAACCAAATATATATTACTGAAGAAATATTTTAATAATATATAACTATAAAATTATCTTTAATTTCATTTATAACAAAATCTGTTGAGAAAATATCTAACAAGATCTTACCAAGAAAGTTAAATATTTTTATAAAATATATATTATTTAATTTCATAATTAATATATATATATATATATATATATATTAATAATTAAAAATAAAAATTGGTATATTTTATAATTTAATGATTTTCTATATTATATTAAAATAAAATGCTATGTGAAATTAATATAAAAATTTATTAAATTGGTAAAGAAAAATATTTTATTTTAAAATTTTCTTTTATTCACTGTTAAAACATATTAATTTTTAAAAATCATGTAATATTTTTATACAAAAAAATTTGACATATATTTTTATAATTCACAACAAATACATTATCTAAAAAAATATATTTGATATTTTTAAAAAATGACAACAGTATATTATATAAAAAAATTAAAATAATAAGATTCTATAGTTATACAATATAAAGATAAAATGTAAATGATATATCTGAAATATTTTGTTATATTTTTATAAAATAAAAAATTACCCGCACGGATGTGCGGGTTCAAAATCTAGTATACTAATAAAATAACTAAAGGAACATGTTTTTTTGTTTAATTATATTTTGCTCATAATCTTATTTATTTTTTATCTTTTCTTAATATAGTAATTTAAGTCTCTTATCTAAACTGTATTTATATCAGAATAATTTTTCAGTTATTTTGACATCCCCTTATTATTAAAATAGAAGCAACTAAAAAGAGTAACCTTCTTAATGTATTTTATTTACGAGAGTGTCATTTTGGTGACGTGTCAGCTCCACAGAGCTTCTCAGACCACATTTAAAAATGCTCACTTCTGTCTAGGAAATTTATTAGAATTGCCATTGGACTAACATTTGTAATATAAAGTCTTTTTGCATAAAAATGTATCTTCCGTATAGAAAGGATATGTTTACAGTTCATTGTCTCTCCTCTTTCCAAAATAATTGAATCCAACATTCTCAGGTGATCTGAGCCTTCGGATCTCTCATCTCCTACCGACGTTTATTGCATGTACTTGACTACGGTGTACCGGAATTTCCTAAGCCATCAAACAATTTCCCCCGAGTAATGAAATCGACGGAAGCCATTGACGACGGTTGTCCGATATATAAGCTTCGTTTCGTTCTCGCGTACGTGTCCATTATGATAGAAGAAGTAGAGTGAGAGATCCATCGGAGCAGATCTCCAAGCATTCGTCTGATAATCCGGTTTATCGGATATGAAATCTATTTTCAAGCAGAGATCTTGTGATTACGATGAGGAAGATCTAATTTTGATTTTGGATTTTGCAGTTAAATATAGCTAATCTTCGTGTTGGAACCTTAGATTCTCTAATCGCTCTCGGCTATGATCTGCTAAAGGTAACATTTTGATATTGAATCCTATTTGGAATTGATTGTGGATGATGATGATGTTTGTATTGAGATGTGTAGTCGAACAGCTTTGTGGAACGAGTTTCTCAAAAGATAAGGAGACAGATCGAGGAGCTTGAGAGGATTTCTGGTGTTGAGAGCAATGCTCTTACTGTTGATGGAGTTCCTGATGATTCTGCTAACAAGATATTTGATTATTTTTTTTAAGTGTTAGTTGATGGCTGATACTTCATGAATACTAATTTGGTCAGGTGTGATGCCTGAATATACGAATCCTCTTGTGAGTGTAAATGGCCAAAATGAGGGTGGTGGAACAAGGAGCCAGTTCTCATCAGCTATGTGGACATGGATGGACTCAATACCTTCAACACCTGCCTCTGCCTGTGAGGGTCCACTGAATAGGACATTTGTGCGTATGTCTAGCTTGAGCCGCATCCGGCTCAAAGGGATGTCAGTTACTGCTAGCAAAGTCACCGTAGCTAAGAAGCGTATGGGAAACAGAGGTTTTCTTCTCTTGTCAATTGTGGGTGCTTTGTGTGCCATCCTCTGGGTGTTCATCATAGCTACAGTTGGTGTAAGGCCCGTCTTATTGTGACCTAAACATTTTGATTCAGGGTAAGTTAGAAGAAAGCATAATCCACATTTAGTTATCACGGAATTGATATATGACGCTTTGAACTTTGTATAGAGTTGAAGAGATTTGAGAAAAGCAACTTTTGACGAAAGGGGTTGTTTTTGGTCTCTCCATTTCCTATGCTTATGATATTCATATTCGTATTCACACAACCTTAGGTAGGGATGGGACTTTTATCTGGAATCCAGATTCGATTCGAGATCCGTTCTGGATCCGCTCCGAAATTAAGATATTCGAGGATGCCCAGATCTAAATCCGGATAGTAGAATTTCGGATCCGTACAAATCGGATCTGGATCGGGATATCTTAATTTTTAGGTCTGGATATCCGGATTCGGATTCATATTTTAAAAATATATTAATTTTTTTTATTTTATTATTAATTATATATGATATATTAATATTTATACATAAAATAAATTTAATAATATTATACTTTTATATTTACAATATTATATGTCATATATATATATTCATAAATTATGCTTACACTACAAGAAAACAGGCCATTTACTAGGACGGGTTCTCCTCGTTATTTCCTAGTAAAAGGGCCTTTACTAGGAAATTATGAGGAAACCCGTTTCGTCGAAAGGCGTTCATCGTAAAGCCTATTTTCCTCGTAAAGTCCTAGCTAACTTACGAGGAAACATTTCCTCGTAAAGACGTGGATAAGTTTTCCTCGTAAAGTCCACGTAAGATTTCCTCGTAAGCTCATAGTAAAGTCTTTCCTCGTAAACTCGTAGTAGGCTATTTACGAGGAACTTTCTAGGAAAGTATACGAAGAGCTTACGAGGAAACCTTACGAGGAACTTGCTAGGATTATTTACTAGGAGATGACTTCGAAAGCTTTACGAGGAAATTGCTTGGAAATGTTTTTTTCTTTTAAAAAAAACTATTTATAAATTAAAAATTATATATATATTAAAAAAATTAGAAAAACCAAATTAAAAATAAAAATTTAAATAATTAAATAATTATAAATAACTAAATAATATACAATGAATAAGTTTAAAAATTCATAATATACAAATTTAAAACTAAAACGGTTGCTGCTCATGAAATTGTTGCACGAAGTCGTCGTCTCCAGTGTTGGCTGCCGGCTGCGACTGAGCTGGTGGAAGGGCTCCGCTTTCCCGTCTCTGACGCAACATCTCCGCCACTTGCGGGTTCCCGACCGCCACAACGTCGAGGATCTCGGTGAGCGAACTCACATGAGCTTGCGTCGCCTGCAACTCCGTCCGCAGCTGATCGTTGGCCTCGACTTGTTGGTGAACATGAGATGATGTCGCTGCGNATCCACTTCAAGAGTGGATAATACGACCGGAGCCCCAGTCTGCTGAGTCAGCTGGGTCTGGCGTTCCTCAACCCGGGCAGCAACCTCCTGGAAGATCCGCTCGGAAGCAGGATCTACAAACTGCCCACTCTTTTTCCGGTGGGTCCGCTCGTAAAGGTCTTTAAGAGATGGAAGAAATCCTGTCTCTTTAGCCTAATTTATTTTTTAAAAGTAAACATTAATTAATGTAGAATATTATAATATTCAAATAAAGTAAAAAGTTAAAAGTTAAAAAAATACCATGTCGAGACGAACTCCCCCGTGAGGTTTTCGGCCCGTGGTGTGAAGAATCTTCGTGTTGCCATGCTCGTCTAAGGTCATGCGGTTGCCGGAGTTTTTGTTGGAGGTTCTGATCGAGTCCGGCAACGCCCAATAGGCGATGAGGCCATCCCACACAGTGGTTGTGAGGCAATCGGATTTCCCGCGCTCGTAACCGTCCACCTGATTTAAAAATAATTACAATTAAAGTAGTCAATAATATATATATTTTTAAAAGTATACATATATTATAATTTATAAATTAATACCTGATAGTCGCCCTTCCAGTTGTAGACCGTGTCGCACAATCGGGCTTTTGCCTTGGCCTCGAACTCTGACTTCACCCGCTGGTGAATCC